ATTGTTCCGAAAAGTAACTCTTTGCCGACCCGTGTAACTTTCATCGAAACGATGTTTTCCTTTCGGTTCCCAAGTTAGAAACATTTATGGCACATCGGCGGTTATACGTCGCGTATTCTGCGTTTCGAGTACAAAAGACGCGTCTTGAACCGATCACTCTGCGCTCCCACGTCGAGTTCCGTCTAAAAACGGTCCTATCGAGTCGCGCGTATCCGCGTGGACGCACGAAAATACAGAAGGAGCGTGTTGTGCAGCTCGAGTGACGCTTCGAAATCCGGCAGGCTTTAATCCCGACGGGTTTACGGGCCAGCGCGACTTTCCGAGAGGATCGAGACATACGGAAACATATCGCATTTCGAAACACAACGATGCTCCATCAAATAAAACAAACTTGCCGCCGTTACGTGTTTCACGGATTTTCACCAGCCGTGTCTCTATCAACGCTGGTCCCGGTTTTCACCCCGCTAGGCATGTCCACTTGAAATACACCTGCAACGTTTCGCCAGATGTTTCGCCTCTGACACTCGCTCGAATTCTCAGATCGTGATGTGTACTACGTGGTTCTAGTTCCACCGCGAATAAATGATGGTCGACCACGGGTTCTCGATCGGAGAGACGAGTCGAATGCGTCGAGTATCTCGAAAACCGGGAGAGATCGGACGGCAGCGAAAGACGCCGTTCGCCCGATGGACGCAATTTGCTGCTGAAATTCGGCTTCCACCGGCAGCAACTTTACCCTACTCGACTTAATCGATACACGTATACGTAACACGCGTGTACACGTAGCCTGTTCGGTAGCTAGCGCGACAAGGCGTAATTTTTCCGCGAATAAAGTGAACGGGACGGAGTCGCGAGGGGAACTCCGTTCGGAGCGAATAGAGATGGAAAAATTATCCGATCAACTTTCGTTAGCCGATACTAGCCTGCACCGGGGGAAAACGGATTGCAATTTTCGCGTAAAAAGGCAATGGGACGCGCGCGTTGTAGTAGGTCCAGGACCGTGTACGTATGTCGGTTAATCAAGGTTCGAGCGTTGGTATTCTCCAAGGGACATCTCGTCTTTGCACGATCGGCCGCGTGATTCTGCTCGCTGGCCAACGACAGAGCACGTGTTTTCTGGGTCACGGTACAAGACGTCGGACTCGTTATTTCCGCGAAGCGACGCGCTATTTTCAGTCGCTCTTCGGATACGTGGGCTCCGGAACGAGTCCTTTTCCCCGACGTCCCGCTCTCATCCCCATTGACGACTGGAAATAAACTGTTCTTCGCGACGCTAACAATGGAAACGGGTTTTCATTCAACCCGTTGCACTCCTTGTTGCTGCATCTTAACGGGAGACGCGATCGAGGACGGCCGGGGGTGGCGGCAGGCTGGGGGTGGCGCGGCCGCGGCTGTTCCACCAATTAGGCGACATCAAAGTTCCGGATATTAATTGCGGTTCCTTCGAGTGCTTCTTAATTGACTTTTATCGACGATCGTCTGCCAGGAACAATGGCATTATAATAACGCGGGCAACAATGACCAAGACGAGCTCGACTTTAATTCTCATTTTTGCCCTCGTCGAACCGTCGCTCGACTCAGTGCCTCCATTGTGCATCGGATACGCGGTTCGCATTAACGAGCGGATCCGAATCGATCTTTTCAGCGTGGTATCTCGCGTGCGAAGTGTGCACCGAGAATTCTTCACTGTCGCGCGAATTAACGGAGAGTCGTTAGTGGAAACCGATGGTCAGGCTTTACATTTGACAATGGCCATGCGTAGATACCGGTGTAATCTGCGCGAAAATGGAAGAGAAAGAACGAGGATGACAGGAAACTGGCCTGTCAAGGCGGGGGCCGTTGAACGGCGCGTTCGTTGACGCCAATCTGATTTCCACTTTTTCAAAGGATCAGCTGCTAGGGTGAACGGGTGAAACCTTTTTTCGGCCGGTTCTGGCAACCGGAGAACGAGAGAAAACACGTGCTCGTCGATGCATCGCGGCGGTGTGTCTATTTTTGCGATACGTCAAGCTATTCTCAGTTACGCTCCGGCTGCACGGAGTGCATCGACTGTCATCGGTGCTCTAGGAATAAACCATCCATCACGGTGAACTAATTCGACGCGTACGTTAGAACTCTGGCCCGATATTTTCTTCTGGCTTGTGTCGAAGAGGGATCGAGACCGCGTCGCGACGCGCATCCACGCTCTACGCTTGCATCATCCACGAACGTTGACAAATAGTCGGCCGTTGTCTCGTGTTTGGGGTGTAATTAAAACGACGAAACAGAAATGTCGATTTTCATCCGGGCATCGGCTTCTTCTGCGTGTCGTCCAGGTGTCGATCGTTGTAACGAGACGTCGCGTTTTGTATTTCATCGTTGTGTAACCCGGTGCTGTAACCAGTGCTGTACCCTGTGTGCGCACGGGTGGTCCAGCGAGTGTACGCGCGTCTACGTATCGCGTTTGTGGTTTTCCTTCGTAATGATCGATACCTCTTACGTCTCTCGCGTAGTAACCGATCCATCGAAAATACAAATCACAGCTATTGGCACGATCGAAGGAGGTATAAATACGATTCGACGTGGCCAGTTCGATCGCCCAACGATCGAAAGATCTGGCAAGTGAACACCACGCTCGTAATAATTTTCCCGATGGACCGAGATGGCAACCGAGAGTAGTTGTACATGTACGTTTCACGGTACAGGCAGAGCGACGAGAATCGCGCTGTAATCGAATCGCCGTTGTTCCACAGCGAAGCCTGGTCGAAAGTCGCGTAAACTTGCCCGTTTAATATTCATGCAAATGGGTTTCCTGGTCAAATCTCCTCGTCGAAGCAATATCCATCGGTCTCGAGGAGGCTAGCGCGAAACTCGGTCATCGTGGACGGAAAACGGCGAGTACTTGGACGGAAAGCTGCTTTGAGGAGGAATTTGCGACTGGCGTGGAAGGTTTGCGAACAGCATCCGGCATCGAGCACCGGCCGTCGTCTAACTAACAAAGCGCTTTCAGTGCGGAAAATTCGTCTGGCCGGGCTCTCCTTTGTTCGCCGCGACGCTGCGCGGCGCGACGTCCGCGGACGATTCACTACCCGGAGAATCGTTGCGTTTCCGGGGCTAATCTGTCCTTTATCTCTGGCCGGAATCGCTGGCGACCTCCGAAGGGGAGCGAGAAACATTTGTCTCCGGCACAATGCTCGGCTGTGGCGAGCGATAAGACCGCCGGCACCTTCGAAAACACTTGGCGTCGACCGGGGCAGCCTTTGCTCGTCATGCGATGGCGATTAAGCTTGCTCGTTTAACACCGATATCTTATGGATATGGCGGCAGTGAAGACGATGAAAATTTCGTATAACGACATTCGTTAGGTTATATCGCGCGTGGCCAGAATTCGCCTTTGCACAGAGGACGGCGCGGCCATGTTCGATCGCGTATAGCTCTGTGAGCTGTAAATTTTGAAGGTAAATGCAGCGTAGAACGGGCGAGAGAAATGTCGGGAATCGACCCAGGACCATCGCGGCCCCGCGAAGTGGAGCGTGGAGATGCTCTTTGGCGGCACATCTCTCTCCCACTTTTCGTTTCCTGTCTCTTTTTTTTTTTTATTCTCGCGCCTTGCTACTTTGCTCGTGGAACACCTCGACATCGTCGTCGTCGTCGTCGTAGTCGTCGTCTCTCGGCGATTCTCGTTCTTACCAGACGAGAGATCCAGCTAAAACGGCGCTCCGCTGTTTCTCCTCTGAAACGTTCGGTCGTTTCAGAGTCTTCGACGGTATTTGCCTCCGTTTGAACGTAACGAGGAACGGATGGAAGTGTCGGTGTTCTTCCGTGCGAAAGGAAGGAGAGTACGAGACGGTACTCGTTGCTGCGAATGCCCTGTAAAATTCGCTACCCTGCGATACCTCGTAGATTAACCCGTAAAGTTTACGATCCTAGTTTCCACTGGAGAATTCCTTTATTTTAGCCACGCAGAAATTCCACGGTCCGAGGAGCTTCGCAGAGAGAGAGAGTTAGGGGTCTCGAGGAATCCCCTTTTTTGCAGGATCGTATCCCTTAAAGATCCACTGCGATGCAGGGAAACGAGGGAAACGAGGGAAACGTAACTCGAGGATGGCGGAACGAGAGAGCGGACTCGAAACTTGGAGCATCGAGTGAAACTTAACTTTCGACGTGGCGACCGAGCGACATCGAACTTCGCTCTCAAACTATTCCAGGAATCCGGCCTGGAGTGGACGAACGAAAAACAACGATGCTCGAGACACGCGCGTTCTTGGCGGCGAGCCTGACGCTCGTTATTTCAATTGCTCATGGACGGGTGTTAATTAAGATTTGCGTAGCTGGCTGGCGTGTTGCCTGTCATACGACAATCGGCCGACGAACTTTCGATCGAAATGGATCCGCAGCTTTCTTCGTCGACGTCGATGTGAGTCACGCGAACCTCTATCAAGGAAAGATGGCGTACGTACCCACGTTAACGAGCGACCCGACGATCCGGCCGATTTATGGAAAATACAATCCCCACGCCCTGACAATCCCCTGGAACATCGCGTTGATCCGTAAGCGTAGCCATTCGAATTGTTTCCCTTTACACCCCCATTGTTCGTTACACTCTGGGCGATCTCGAATCGCCGGTAGCCACGGCCAGTAGCAGCATAGCGATTTTCCACTCCAGTAGACCGCTAATTAACGAACATTCCACCGTGCGAAGTTAGCGGCTTCCTCTGTATAATCCGTTGATCCATTCTAGCGATCGAGTAGCTCGGTCGGCGTTAATTCTTGATCGATCTGTCACTTCGTCGATCTATCAAGCTATCGCAGTCTACTAGACTGTCGACCTAGTGGCTTACCAGTCTAGTAGCTCATTAAGAGAATAGCTCGGTATAGGGGCTGTTAGTCCAGAGGTAGCGCAACCTAGTTTTCGTTTGTACATCTTATATACGAGCAGCGTGTTTCGTGTATGTACATGTGTATTATCGCCGGCCCTGATCCGTGGACACTCTAACAACGCGGCCATGTTTCTTTTTCAGATCGCTGCCGAAACTCAGCAGCCAGGACGAGGATGGGCCGAACCCACACACCCAATACTCAGGCGTTACGCAGTTCGAGCCCATACCGCACGATCATGACTTTTGCGAGAGGGTCGTCATTAACGTGAGCATCCCAACCTCTACCCCGCTGCTTTCGTTACCGTGCCAGGCGCGTCGCATTCGCCAGGGCTTTCGTTTCCGATACCAAATTATAATTTCTAACTTGCTTTCCCTTCGGTTCCCTTCGATTCCCTTCGGAACGAAGAAACGTGGGCAAAAACGAGCATGTCGCGACGAACGGTCTGCCAACGATTCAATCTCGGCTAATTAACTATTAAAGCCACTCTGAAACGACGTCGAGAAATCGAAGACAGGGGTTGCAGGGAGACAAGACACGAGACGCGCATCTGCGAGGACGGGCTGATGCCGGTGGTGCACGGGTTCGAAGAGGATCGAATTAATATAAATTTCATCGCGCTTTTTCCACCGGCGTATTCGAAAGGCCGAGTCGCGGAAGGGCGGTCGACGCGTTTTACATCCGCTGAATTCACCGGCCTGTCGGACGGCGGGATAATTGGAGTCGAAATTCAGCACGCCTCGGCTACGAGCTCGGAACCCGGACTCGTGGAAAAAATGTTCCAACCCGTATTTGATTGCAATTGTCCGGAATAACGAAGCATACATGTCGCGTCCCGTTCGACGCGTCAAAGTAAAGAAATAAAAGCAGCGGCTGGGATGAAAGGGAGAAAAAGAGGGAGAAAGAAATGGAACGATGGGGATAAACGGGTCGAACGATGTAAATCGTTTCTCGATTCGCTTGTCGCGTAAACAATCGCCGGGATAGGATATACCGCGCGTGTATCTGCACGTAGTATATATCGTTAGTTTTCGTGTGATCGTTACCTGGGCCGGGCCGCATTCCGATCGATTTCCATGCGTTTTTCGGCTCGAATAGCAAATGGCTGGCGCTATTCGCTTGTCGCCCATTGCTCGATATACTTCTTTTCTTTTCGACGAGGCAAGATTATCTCAAGACACGAAGTGACCTACAGACCGTATTTTGGCAACCGTCCAAGTTCGTCTTGGAATCAGGGGCAATATAGTACCAAGGTCGTATTGTGTGAACGGAATTATCTGTCCTCGTGGATGACACGACTGCATTGCGCCAATTACGGTTACCGTTCGATCGTTTCGCGAAAAAATCCCGATGCCGATGTTTCCGCGACCGATCGAATCCTCCCTTTCCGCCTTTATTCCCCTCCCTGGCCGCCATTGCCGCGTGATCCGCGTCAAACACGAAATTTCAACTGAAAACCAATTACGATCTTCGCGTTTTATGCTTGGAAATGCGCGCAGCACCGGTTTTTGAAATTTTAAACTACCCCGGGTATACGTTCTTCTTTGATATTTTATTTACCGTTGCATATTCCTTGCCCGTGCTCCTTCTCGAAACGTGATTGATTGCTCGTGGAAGCAAGGCGAGGACGGATCGCAGGACAGAGGGCGATCGAAAGGCGATTTCCGCGAGAAATCGTGGCCACTCGTGGACGTTCGATAACGAGACTAAATATCGACCGGTGGGGCACGGTGCACACGCGTGTGCTCGCGCCGTCGCGGGTGCAATCCAATTTCTGTTCTCGACGGGCCGCTCGTCATCGCTCGGCACCGCGTCCCTTCCTCGCCGTCGAATCGGTCGCTGTAATGTTCGAAACGGCTAATTGCCCTTTGCAAATACTAAATTTTTATGCCTCACGTCCGACAGGCCGATCGATGTTCTCGCCCCCGAGAACGATATAAACGACGAGTGCAATTTCCACGTCCCACCGTGCCGGTACTACGGACCTATACCGATAAAGGACGGGTCGTTGAAATTTTCCGGTCGATACGAAAAATTCTCCATCATCGGGATCAACGTTTGTTTGCAACAGCTCGTCGTGTTTGCTGCACCACTGTGAAGCACCGAAACTCGATATTTAATGAAACGTCACGCACACTTCCGAGCTCGTCCCGTTCGCCTGCTCTTGTCAAATCTCCGTGTCGTCGCGAGGCTTACCGTTTCTCCTTCGCCGACGATAAAGATAAACTTTGGTTATTCGGGCTGAGGTTATTCTCGTGGGTAAGACGGAGGAATTCCTCGCGCATCCTCGGCGCTGGTCTTCCCACCGCTATTATCGATAAAGCTGCTCCTGCCGCGACAGTTATAACCGATACTTCTTCTTTTTCTTCTTAATCGTCCTAATGGTGGGACGCAATTACCCTAGTTTCGTTTATTAATTTTCCGTTCCGGCGAGCAGGATCGAAAGAAAGTCGTTCTTTTTGAGCCAAAACAAATCAGCCGCGTCCGCACTCCCGTTTATTCCTCATAATTGACATTACAGTCCCGCCACAGCGGCTAATAACGATATCATCGTTGGACCAGCCTATATTACTGGCCGCTGATGCTCGAATCTTTTCGAAAAGCAGAGCTGTTCGAGCAGAGCTCGCGGTATCTAGGTCTTTCTATTTCGCTTGCCGGTTGCTTTTGGGTTGAACGATTTTAAACAACCACTCATCTCCAAGCGAACTATTCCAAGAGGGTTCACTGACCGATCCTATCTATTCGCTCTCCTAGCATTCTTCGAAGATGGACTCCCACGCCTACTTATCTCTGAATCACGCATACTTTTACACCGGCCCGAGTTCCTTGTCGAAATTTAATCGGAATTACCTCGAGATCGATCGATCGTTTCGCGTGGAAAATTAGCAGTTCGCAGGACGGGACTTGGTACAAAATCATGAGCCTGGTAAGCTAGATAAGCTCTTTAAGGCTCGCGGTCGCAATTAGGGATGCAGGAATGATCGAATGAGGATTACGGTTAAGGATAGGTCACCGGTGGTCGCAGCGTGCCAATAATCGATTCTTGCGATCTCGACAGGTGAGCGGGCTACGGTTTGAGACGCAGCTGCGTACGCTGAACCAATTTCCGGACACGCTCCTTGGCGATCCGCACCGGCGGATCCGATACTTCGATCCGCTACGCAACGAGTACTTCTTCGACCGGAATCGGCCCTCCTTCGACGCGATACTTTATTATTACCAGAGCGGTGGCAGGCTCCGTCGCCCGGTCAACGTTCCTCTCGATGTCTTCTCCGAGGAGATCAAGTTCTACGAGCTGGGCGAGCTGGCCACCAACAAGTTCAGGTAAGCTTCAACGATTACTAAAATTTCCGCTACTTCACTTTACGCGAATCTCCGTGTCGAAAATAATTTCCCATAAGAATGTCTTTGCGCTACGAGTCGTTGAGACCGGTATAGATATCATGGGGGTCCAACCCGCGGCCCGATTTCACATATAACTAACTCCGTGTCGTTGTCGCTGTGATAAAAAGAAGTCAGTTATCAGCTATCGTAAGTGTTGGGTATATTTTTGGAAAGCCGAGAGATTGGACACCCCTGGTATAGACCATGCCACTTAAAAAAGACGGAGGTAACCTTGAAATTCACGAAAACTCTCTAGCGACGAAAAATGATTCGTGACGAGTTATGCCGAGATAACTTTAGTAAATAAAGTTTTTCATATTTTAAAAATAACGGAGATATTCCAGGTGGGCAGGGTTATTACTCCACCCTGTATGTACATACAGTAAATACATAGTACACACGCGAATATCTGCACCCCTTGATGGATTGGTATTAAAAATACGCAAATATCGCTAGAACATATAAATTAATTGCAAATTAATTACCAGCTATCAGTCGAATCGTCGGATTACGAATTTAAATCGCTCGCTGAAACATTGGCCAGTATTGTGTCGAGATAAACAGCGTGATTCGTCAATTTATCTCGCAACTTCGAATCGATCGTTGGAATTTTTTGATTAGTCGAAAGGAATCTTCCCAATACGACGCGAATTTGCTATCGCGTAATTTAAGTAATCCATTCTACCGTACCGTTATATCCCGGGATATCTATTATTCGCGACGTTAATAATAATATAACAGAGAGGAAAATTATTCCACCTATAATTTCGTAATTAAATCACGTCCGTACCAAACGCGAGCAAGTATTCCGTCATTTCCGCGAGGCGAGCTGTAAAACTCTACGTGCACGAAAGCAGAGTATTTTACGAGACGGGAGGAAGCTTGAAAATCGTCGGACAAGCCTTCGTGTCCAGAAACGAAGTCCAGCGAGCTCGTTTGTTCAAAGACATTCAATCTCTGGCTCGCGGAAGGGCGGTGATCCAGTTTCGTTCGACATTCGTTACCGCGGAAATAATAGGAAGTGGGGGGCAAGGTACGCGCGCGTTTCATTTCCGGCGAAAACACGTAGCCCGCGCCTGGAAGGGACGCGGCATTTGCCAATTACGTTTACGGTTGGAATGGTTAAACGCGGCAAAGCGTAAAAGATAAAGCTGGTGAAATCCACAGGGAGGACGAAGGGTTCATCAAGGAGGAGGAGAAGCCGCTGCCGTCGCACGAGATGCAAAGGAAGGTCTGGCTGCTGTTCGAGTACCCGGAGAGCTCGCAGGGCGCCCGGGTGGTCGCCATAATATCCGTGATCGTGATCCTCCTGTCGATCGTGATATTCTGCCTGGAGACCCTGCCGGAGTTCAAACACTACAAGGTCTTCAACACGACGACGAACGGCACGTTGATCGAGGAGGACGAAGTGCCGGACATTACGGACCCGTTCTTCCTAATAGAGACTATTTGTATCATCTGGTTCACGTTCGAGTTATCGGTGCGCTTCCTCGCCTGTCCAAATAAACTGAACTTCTTCCGTGACGTAATGAACTTCATCGACATCATCGCGATCATTCCTTACTTCATCACGCTCGCCACCGTGGTGGCCGAGGAGGAGGACACGATTGATCTACCAAAGGCGCCGGTAAGCCCGCAGGACAAGAGCACGAACCAGGCGATGTCCCTGGCGATACTCAGGGTCATCAGGCTCGTCAGGGTGTTCCGGATATTCAAGCTGTCCAGGCACAGTAAAGGCCTCCAGATCCTCGGCCGTACGCTCAAGGCCTCCATGAGGGAGCTCGGCTTGCTCATCTTTTTCCTTTTCATCGGTGAGTTCGCTTTCTCGTATCTTCTTTCAACTTCCTCCTTCCCCCTTCTTGTTTCTTCGCTTTACTATCTTTCGTTCGTCAGAGTTCCACAGGAGACGATTGTTTGGACGTTGTGTTTGAACAGAAGCAAACACTCGATCCAGAGATTCTTTTGTTTCCTCTACGTTTTTAAAAGAGAAACGGCCACGGATTTATGTGCATCGCGGGCTGAAATGTTTACCCGTTGCATCGATAGAACGAGATCAACCCTTAATCGAGTAACGGTCAGTTGACACACGCTCCATTTCACAGCATCCGCAAACCACGGTCGTGTTCCAGGTGTCCCGAAACTTTTGAGCGGCAGTGTAGTTGTTCCCCCGCGTCCAAGCGTGTTTACTTCCACCGGTTACGGACTTTGCTCGATTCTTCGGGTCTCCGGCACATTTATTTACCTCGCGAATTTTAGCATCGTGAAATTCAAAGGGTGATCGGAAAGCCAGAAATTTGCAATTTAATCGCGCCGACCTCCGGCGTTCGCGTTCCGCCAGCGGGAAAATAAAGTGGCAGCATTTGAGATTCCAGGGAGCCGTTCCCTCGATGTTATTCGAAAACCGGAAACGCGTCCTCGGCATCTTGCAGCTTCCGCTGACGCAGATTTCTACCGGAATATTTCGGAGGGCGACTTCCTACGAGGGGAAGATTTACAACCTCGTTCGTCCATCGATTCTTAATTCCGCTCCCGGAAGAGCACTCGTCTCCGTGCCTGTCGATCTTCCTGGTACCGCGTACACGCTTCGGCGTATAATTTTCGAATGCTCGTACGCGGAAACGGAAAACGCGACGATGGCGGAAAACTTGGCGATAAAATGGGACAAAGAAAACGATTTGACGATGTTTGAGCCCGCCGAACGAAGGCATCGTTTGAAAACGTTTCGGTGCATCGGCTAGAGGACTGCGCAAAGATCTAGGTAACGAAAACCGAGGGCCGATCATCCGGTATCTGGAGGAAGAGTCGAAATCCAATCAGCGTAATGGAAGGAAGCCCATAAAGACGTGGATTTTGCTCGATCGAGCGGAAAAAAGAGGAAAGTTGGAAGAGAGTGGCTAAGGAAGCGTGGCGCGTTGGGAATCGATGGAAAGGTCGATCGGAGGGAATCTCGGTGTGTGTACACAGGATGGCGCGCAGATGACGCGACGAGGACAACGGGCACGAGCACGGGGGTGGACGTGGACGTGGACACGGATGGAGAGGACTGCTAAGCGGACTAAGGGCCAGGGGCCGACAAAGTAGCGTGTCTTGAAGCGTCTGTTCCTCTTGTGTGCGTTGCAGGTGTGGTGCTGTTCTCGTCGGCGGTTTACTTCGCGGAGGCGGGCACGCAAGACAGCTTCTTCAAATCGATACCGGACGCGTTCTGGTGGGCGGTGGTCACGATGACGACCGTGGGCTACGGGGACATGAGGTACAGAGCCACCGGGGGCGTTAAACCCACTGAACCGGTGTTTTCTTCCTTGCATTGCAGGTGTGGTGCTATTCTCATCGGCGGTATACTTCGCGGAGGCCGGCTCCGAGAATTCGTTCTTCAAGTCCATTCCGGCCGCGTTCTGGTGGGCCGTTGTCACGATGACGACCGTGGGCTATGGTGACATGACGTATGATGTACTCACTTTCACTTAAGACTCTAGTTAATGCCCGCCAAACAAACGAACACATACTACTTACTCTCCTCCGATACTTTACTTAACTACTTTAACTACTCGATTACTCTGCTCCCTGTAACGTATACTCCCGACCTCTTCTTTCCTTCAAGCACGTCCCTTCAGCTCCGCTCCTCCACGCTCCGTCTCCCTACTCTGTTTGATCGCTTTTTCAGTTCTTACTTTTAAACATTTCAATTTACTTAGTGCTTGATGAACTTTGACACGCTAGTTTTCAATCTTTTCCATCTCCACGCATCTTTTCTTTCATAGCTGCTCTGTCCTATGTCCGCGGAATCGGAATGTTTTCATCTCTCTTCGCGCATCTTCTTCGATTCAGACTTCCCCCCCGTCTTCTTTTCCTTCCGCTCACGTTCGTCTCGCCGCATATCTCACACGAGTTCGCGATTCTCCCTCGAGCACGCTTCGTCGTACGAGCAACGGCATTTCCGATCATTCGCTCTATCACTTTCCTCTCGAGCGTGTTCCGGCTGATTCAGCCGTTCGATCCGCTCCTGCTTCCTTTCTTCTTTCCATTTCTCGCGTCATCGTCTCTTCCACGCGATGCCGACCCTTTCGTTTGGTCCCTTAATACCCACGGACGAAATGCCACGAACGAATCGTCTCCCAGAATCGCTGTTCTCTATTCGCGAGCTCGACTCGACTCTCCAAATATTCGAACGATCTCGTTTCTCGCGGAAAAAGGGGACAAAGGAAAAATGGGGAAAAGGGAGAAAAAAGTAAAAAAAAATAGCGCTTCTCCGAGCGAGAGGTGCGAATTGAAACGTCTCTCGATCGAAGCGAGTGTCGTGTCGCGTTTAACGCGCTTAATTGGCCTTTGGAAGAATAATTGAGGGCTGGAGAATGCGAGAACGGTGGAACGCGCGGGCCAAAGTGACATTGCAAACTCGATTATGTTCCAGAATCCGAGTCACGAAGAAAATGTGCCGATACAGTTTCTCTCGTTCGCAGTCATATTCTTCCCTACTGCTAGAGAATTTCTACCCTGCATTCGTTGCGCGTATTTAGAGAGCACGACACGCGACATTTTGATACAACATTATTCATGAGCCTTTAAGGGCTTCCGTTTCTTCTTTTGCGTTTGTTTCACGTTGCTTGTAACGTAGTTTTTTCGACACAAGCACCCTTTGTTAGTTTCATCGTAACCGCTGTATGATTCGGTACTAGAACTACTGGCTTTTGACTGATGTAGCGAAATATACTGTACACGAATGATACCAACTGAAACGACACAGTAGAAATCTGGATGATAATCTAGCACCATAGGAAACGAATTTGATCAAAAGCAGCTGCATGTTTTTAGCAAAGTTAATTGCAAAGTGAAAATCTTCCGAGCAAGTCATCTCTACTGTCCGAGTACCTGGTAGCGTTGAACGTTTCCCGATATCTCGGCGGTAAAACTAAAATCAGCCACGCGTGAATGACGGAAATGACAGCAGCGAAATCGTAAATGCAAGGACGACCCCGAAGCAGCTGGAACTCACCCCAGCGGTGCGACGCGTTATGGTTTGCTCTATGATACGCAGGGTGCGATTATAATATCGCCAGTGTAGTTTCGTGGTTCACGGTTAGCCCTCGAGACTCGAGAGCATCCGTCGAGAGAGACTCGAGATCTCTGGTGTTACTACCGAAGGGGCTTCTTGAGCAATTGCCTCCCGTAAATCAATAAGTGTCCTCGGGCAACCGGCACGGGTTCGTTTCTTGGAAACGCCCTCGGCCGAAAGGGCCGAGAGATCGGGACGATTCGGATCGTGGAGCGATAAACGCGTTAGGAAAGCGCGGCAGCCATGGGTAACGCGGCGTTTTCATCGACGAGATTCCAGATAGATCCGCTAGAGGTACAACGTGCTTTAGCGAAAGGAATTATCTCGACTATTTGGTCGATGAATCGTCATTGGGGACCCGAGGTTAGGGGGTTCGCGCGAGACAAAGATCGTGATTAGTAGGGACGTCTGTCGTTAAGCCATTACGGAGTCTGGGGTACAGTTGCTTGGAAATTAGACTCTAAGGTTGGGCTAGTTGTACTTTGACGTCGGTGGTGGGGCAGCGGCACAAAGTAGCCGGAACGTTTGTCTCATTGAAATTCCGTTCAGCAAATGGGAACGAAACCGAAGCGACTGCTGATTATTCTCGCATATAAATACCGCGTCTGCATACAGGGTGTCCCATTTAGCATTGTTATCCCGAATGTCCTTTTGTGTCTCAATTACGGAAACAGCATTGGCGTAGGATCGAATTATTCCGCTGATAAGAAAGAATCTCGAGTTAACTATACCTCCTTTTTCCCACGAAATGATAGGCGTCGATAATTTGATCTTTCGTAAATTAATTAACCCTAGAACTGTCAGACGAGTAAAAATATCTGATTTCGGACGCGTTTTGTGCTTTCGGTTACTAAAAATACGCTGCTGCTTTTGACAGAATTAGTATAATTGCATAAACTCGTTTACTCACGCTACAAATCGGTGCTGTCGGTGAATTTTTCTTACTAAAATGGTTCCTACGAATTTGAAGCAAAGGTATTCTATTCGAAAAGCTGTGGACCAAGACGACAAGAGATAAATAGTATCGAGCTGCGTGCTTTCTGAAACGTGCAATCTCGCGGGCAATTCGATAGAGGGATCGCGGGAAAAATAGAATACGAAGAATTGCGATATTGGAGGAAAGCACCCGGTATAAGAGCAGCGTTCGTCCTCTGCACTACACGCAAGAGGCCCGTTCCAGTTTCCCATTACGATACACGCATCGAGCTTGACTCCTTTGTCGAGAGACCGGCGTCACTCGCTTCCTCTATATCGAAGCCCGTTTCTCGCGTAACCAACTTCCCCCGTCGAAGCGCACTTTGAAAGTGTTCCACCCTCTGCTACGTCGCGTCTCGTTACATCGATTCTCGCTTCCCATTACCGCGATTGATCGCAGTTTCGGAAACCCTTCCTGCCGGCACGGTGTGCTGATGGCGGCTGCCGATCGTAAAGCATCGATGTCGCGATAAACGGGAGATTCGACCTGCCTTTCGAAATCGAACCCTAAACGCGATACCTCTGAAATTAACCCCCTGTCCTCTGTCCACGGACTACAATTAGCAGCGATACTCGTCGACCTACGGATTCGTTGCATTTTCATCGAAAAGAAATGAAAGAAATTTCTAACTCTTCCCTGTCGCGCTCCTCGACTTCCGGTTCCTCGAACCTGCCGATTCGATACATTTCTGCATGCCTCTTCGCGATCAAACACACTCCACATATTTTTCTCCACCCATACTAGTCCCGCAAGATCAAACGTTCTTGCTCCTTCTTTGGAAAGTACTCTCTTTCTACCTTCGCTCACTACGCTGTCATTACTGCTACTACCATCAGTCATGGATCACAAAGGCCCATAGTACAGTGACACCTGCATAGGAATGATCTATCGTTTTGCAACAAATTCGATCGAGATCCGACTCACCGAAGATAAGTCGTTTCGCGGGGAGGATCGAACGGGATCGGGGATTGAACAGCGTTAAAGACACGGCTGGGCGAGACGCGAGGAATTCGCGTGCTCTGAAACAACAACGACGCGTGTACGTTTCCTTTGAGAGGAAAGCAGAGAAAAGAAGCGCGACGAGTGGAGGAGGATTCGCGCTAAAATCCATTCGCGAGGCATTCATCGGACGGGGCTGAATGAGCGTGACGAGCGGTGAATTCTTCTTTCCCGCCTTTGATCTCGAACCGGTATTGTTCGCGTATATAGCGACAGTTATTCAATTAGACTCGGCCGCAAAGAATGCGTCATTTCGCAGCCACGGATTAGTCGGGAATAACGGTCATTGCGTTCTATAATCTGGCATACTGGTAATTGAGAGAGGAAAGCTTTTTATCGTCCTACCATTCAAACGGTTAATTGATATCTCGTTGGAACTTTTTACCGGGGTGATAGGAAGAGAGCGAGAGAGAGAGAGATTGAGAGAAAGAGATCGAGAGAGAGAGAGAGAGAGAGAGGGAGAGCAGAGGAAAAAATAAGGCATGACAGAAACGAACATGTCGTCCTGAATTTCAACGTCACCGTACACGATCGAAATTAAACTCTTCTTGGACGTTTTATATTTATTTATTTATTTATTTATTTTGCCTGACGTGGTTATCGAATAGTCGAGAGATAATCGAATCGTTACTGCTTTCCGGGAGAATGCGGAACGTTCGAAGGCTACGGGGTGGTTGAAGTGGTCGACGCGTGAGCGAGTTTGCATGGCTTTCAATTCGATGAAACGCGCTCTAATCATCACTCTGCTCTCTACGTGTGATTCGACGTGCACGGAAAAAGTCTCGCGGTAATTTCCGTCACTCGGTCAAATTCGTCCCTTAATTGCTCGTTACCACGCTCGAGTCCCGAGATCATCCGTACACCACGCGTACGCGTTCCGGATCGTTCTCGCTGAGAAACGATCCGAGCGATTGCGCACGAAACTGCGTGTCCGTGTTCGAAACCGGTTGGATCGCGATGGTCCGTAAAAGAGCGTGAAAACGTAGAAAATTTGCATGTCGTACCGTTAGAAGATTCGATCGGATCTAAGCAACGGAATGGCACGCGCTTGTTTGGAACGGTGCATCGGCACACGAAGGAGGAGCCTTTTTAGAGAGTCACGTTAGTCCCCTAGTCTAGCCTAGAGAGCCCGCTTCTTATTAGACACGCGAAACACTATAAGTATACACGGGTTTTGCGTTCGTGCGGCGTTCAGTGAACAAAGATCGGTTTCGCGTCATTTGAATAAAGAGCACGTTTGACGAATGCAAGACGAAGGAGAACGCGTGCGAACGCGTAAACGAGATCGATCAGACCAGCGAACCGTTCTTTGTGATCATGACTAATGTCTATTTGTGACGCGCAGAACGCACGCAGACGGTCCGTGTATATCTATAGGAGCCTCCAGTACCGCATAAGTAGCGCCACACTCGACTCGACACGGCAAACTCACACAAGATAGAAACACCACACCTAGCACCGAGTTTCTAGACGAGGATCGAAGCTATCGACGTTCGAGCCAGTGGCTGACCGCGAATGAAAGCGTTCGTTTCCCTTTGCTTCAGGCCCGTGGGAGTCTGGGGGAAGATCGTGGGCTCTTTGTGCGCGATCGCTGGTGTGCTGACGATCGCCCTGCCTGTCCCTGTCATCGTCTCCAACTTCAACTACTTCTATCATCGTGAGACTGACCAGGAAGAAATGCAGTCGCAGAACTTCAATCACGTGACCAGCTGCCCGTATCTCCCTGGTACGAGCTCTTCTCGTTTTATCCTCCGACTGAATTTCAAACCGGTTCCGTCACACACTTCTGGGTAATGGTATCAACCTATAGGGGAGAATAACTTTATAACCGAACCGCCGTGATTAACCATGTCGTCCAACTGCTATCGATCTTGATAGCTGCACCGATTAACGTTACCGTGAAGGCATTTGAATTTTAAAAGGGGCAACTGTTCCTTGACGGGACGACGCGCGTTGTTTGCTAACGGCATCGGTCACGGGTCACGAAGGCTCCTAACGTCCTGTCGCGTGCAAGGATCTTTCTTTCAGACTAATTTAATAATTCATGTTCGTCGCCTAATATAACGTACCCGCTAAACTCGATAACTCTCTGCCGTAACGATTCACGCGAAACGGTATTTAAAGCAAGTGTTAGTCTATTTGCAAGGTGGAACGGAAAAAAATGTAACCTTAAGACCAGGTGGTTCGAAATCGGTCCTATCCCGGTAAGTACGAGCAAAAAGGATAACAGTATTACGCGTAATAATAATAGTCCTCCAGGTTTCTCCTAAGTACTCGTCCGTGGTTACTGGTTCAAGTTGTGAGCCGGCTGGCAAATCCCCGCGAGAGTCTGTGTGCCGGTATCGCGTGTCTACGCCCTCGCTGACGGTAGTTTACCCTGACTTTAATCCGCTTAGGCGCGAGCTCGTTGGCCAGTCAATTTTTCACGCCTTCCTTGACGGACGACGATGTGCGGACGTCCGACGGGTACGTCGAACGCCAACGATTAAAGAGAAATTGATAGTCCGGAAAAAACTCGGCGGAGCAAAGCTAGCCGAGAGTACACTCCGAGAGGATTATCCTAAAAGCATGCATAGGCGATTTAAGCTCGATTTTCAGAGTTTACCCAGCTCCGACGTAGTGGTTTTCGAAACTAGCGGAGGATGGAACTCGTCCAACATTGTCTCGTCTGTTTCGCAGGTCAACACTTGAAGAAGAGCTCGATGTCGGAATCGTCGTCGGAGATAATGGAGCTGGAAGAGGGCATACTGCTCACTCATCCTGAGATTACGAAGAAGCCCAACTGCAACCCTCGCCATAATAACAATATTAATCCAGCCTGTATGAGCATCGAGACTGACGTCTGACTACTAGGTGGGTACTTTGATTAATCGCGTACAAGTACGGTAAATCTAATTTAGCAGATGCGCAAGGAAGAGGATCGTTTCGAAGAATCTTAGCTCTCTAATCTCTCTAGGCCTCTTTGCCTTCCGATACCTCCATGACTCTTCTACGAAACGTGTGTGTGTGTGCGCGTGTGTGTGTGTGCGTGTGTGTGTGTGTGTGTGTGTGTGTGATCGTCGAAATAATTCTCGATCGAAAGATCTGCGAGAAGGAATAACGAACGAGAATTAAAGAGAATTTGTGTGATTACAGTGAAGGAGACGGTGGCAACGTGGTGGTCAATGCTGGAACAGTTGTCGAAGAACAGCTACAGCCCCCTACGGTGCCTGACGTAGGCCTCCTTCACACGTCGTCGTAGTCGCGCTAGCTGCGAGCGCTAGCGACAGCGCGTGTACGCATGCGCACTTGCTGTTGGATCATACGCGGCTGCGCATGCGCACTCGCGCGCCAACCCGCCGTCTGTCCATAGTCTGTCAATACGAGGGGTGCTTCCAATCCATTACTACGTGTCAACGAGACAAGAAAGGACGAGAGAATAAAAGAGTAACGGAGAAATTCAACGACCAAGAATCGGCTGACTAATAGGTGCCACATAATTTCTTCCATCGGCGCGACGCGAGAACGGAATAGCCGTCGGCGGAAGAGAGTTCGAGAGCGAGCGAAAAAGTGAATGAAAAGGGGGGGGATAAACGAACGGGAGAAGATAGAGGAAAAGGCGGAGAAACGTTGAGAACGACTTTCGAGATAAAAAGAGTCCGACATAAGGGCGAAAAAGGGCGGTGAACGAGGAAAGAGGTGGCAACATTTTCGACGGAAGAAGCATCGTCGAAAACGAGACAGCCGCTTCGGAGGTGTTACGGTACACGCGCACCCCACGTAGGGACCTACGTGCTAATAAGGGGATGGAGCAGGATATTTCAGTCGCGCGTCCACTCCCCACACCACCGACTCCAGTGTTCAATACAAATGATAACAAATAAATAAAAAATAAAAAATAAACGGTATAAATGAAACGAAGGAAAGAGAATTAAGTCGCGGCGGCTTCGCGAACTAAAAAAAATATATAAGAGAACGACGTCGAGCCTTTCCCCCCTCCGATGTTCGCGTAAACGCCGGAAAACATGGCGGATCGAAGGGGGAGCCGGTCGATGGCGAAACCAGGGGAATCGTATCAGATAATACTAATTATTTATTATCGATGTAATTATATCGAGTACACGTAGGCGAAGGTACGCTAAAGAAACAAAAAAAAGAAAAAAATATATAAAAAATATTCGTTTTAATGATTATAACACTGCGCGAAAACGGACGAAGCCACGATCGAGCGGAAGAGGAAAACAAGACGGGGGAGAGAAGAACGGAAGTAAAAATGGCGATGGTGCTCGCGGTGAGAGGACAGACTTGTGAAGATGACACCGTAGGCGTTGCACGGCGAGCAGCTACGGAAACAAGTGTGTTTTGCAGCGGAGAGACAGTTTTTTTCACTGAGGACAAATACTCAAAGTAAGCCAGCATTAAAGCTGTACGTATTTCGAACGCGAGAGACCATTGGAATGCAATTCGTTTTTCGGAGCGTAACACCGTACTTGTACTCGCAAACAGGCAAAACACGAGCATACACACGCAGACAGGTACACACCACAGGACACACATAGACACCCAGAGACAAGCATCTACCAAGTTAGCGTAACACGTCACAAACGACGCTTGTACGATATCTCGAGGAATAGGCGTGCGTTGCTCTCGTCCAACTGTTAAGTAGCGGTAGCCGTCGATCGTGCACGATTCACGGAGTTGCCACTGGCATCGCGATAAACAGGAATATCCGTACGAGATAAGACCCGTCTTTCAAGTTTTAGATTACATCGGTGTTTTCCAAAGCGTGTGCGATTGTATCGAACGATCGTCGAGCCAACACACGACGTATGGAAAAATGCATCGCTGTTCCCTAAGACTTGTGGCCCAACGAATTACTCCTTCGTGCACGTTCGAAACGCGTGCGAATCGGAGAACGAGTCGACTACACTGTACTCCGAGCTCGAATCAACGAGAATAAAGCTCCGCGAGAAGTTACCTTCGTGTGTAAGAACGAATGATTCCGCTTTGTCGCGGTACATCGGTGACGCGAAAGCGATCGAAAGGAGAGGGCTAGCACGAAAAGAGAAGCCTACTACTCTAACGAGCTTGAAAATAGCGATCAATGGTCGGAAAGGTGTCTGCCGATGGCGCGTACAACCGTGTTCACGTTCCCGATCTCGATCCCACGAATACGCAATCTTCGGTCCCTTTGTTCGCGTGACCAATCCGGACTCGATACACACAGAGAAAGTCGAGCAGTAGCGAAAGCAGTATCACGCAGAGATTCAGTTTTAGCGAGGCTGATTCGCGAACGTTTCGCAACCATGCGAAACCAGACGACCACGTATTCGATTTTGTGTTCAGGTTAGGGAAAAGAGAGAGAGAGAGAGAGAGAGAGAGAGAGAGAGAGAGAGAAAGAGAGAGAGAGAATAGAGAGGTGGGCGGTCAGGAAATGTTCAAGTACCAGGTATAAACCTTTGTTCCGACATCGCGCGTTCATCGTTTAATTTGAACCGATAAATTTTAGCAGACATTTTTCGTTTCTCTTCCTCTCGTGCACGCTGATTTCCAAGCTTCTCTTGTTTGCGTCGGAAAGGAATCGAGATTTTTGCCCTTTCGGTCGAGTGTCCGATTATAGAATGGTGATAAATTCCGTCTCTAATTAGCGAATAGTCTCGATAAATGCCAAATTGCGAAGCAGTATTTCAATGTATCGTTATAAATATCGCTCTACCTTCGAAACGAATATACGGTCGAAAGGGTTGAGAACAGTGATCGAAGATTATGGGAAATATCTCTTTTATTTCGCGATTGTCCGTACCGCCTGACGATCGAGATTAATTCTTCCTTCGAATTATATTTTTCCCTCGCACTTGTGCTTCTTTTTTCTTCGTTTCGGAGCGATACGCGGCAAAAGACGTAATTTGACGAGCGACAGGGCCATCGTCGGCAGAAATTGAAAGAAATGCGCACACGGGGATAAACAGGAAGGCAGGAAGAAGAGAGGGAGAGAAAGACGAGGATGCGAGGGTGATCTCAGCTACGAACAAAGTCGCGTCTCGAGTTCGTGAAAAACGAATTGGCAGGCCAATCGGTGCTCGATGCGAAGCAACAGCACTTTCTCTATCTCTTCGCTGTCGTCTCGATGTTTCGCCTCTTTCCCGATGGAAAAAAGCGCATCACAAAATCGCAAAGACTGCCATTTTACCATTCTCAGTAAAAACGAAACAAAAAGAAAAGAACATCGCGTAACGATATTCAACGATTATTTCGAGAACATCGTCCGTGCTCGAATATTTTCCGCTTAGGTCGGTCCTTCAAAATGCCGCGTCGTACAACGGTCCGTATTCTCGCGATCCAAACTATTCCAACAATAATCGCGACGATCGCGTCTGAGAGTCGCGATAGGGCTCGTCGATTCGCCACAATCCGCGTTGAAAACGTTGCACGGATACATGGACGTACCTCTTTGCGTAAATGAAACACCGCGGGGCGAATCAGGAACGGTCGATTGAAAAGTTTTTACCTCTTCGAATAAACGTGGCGTTTCGATTCCATTAGAGTCCAAAAAGAACGAATCGCAAGGTTAATTTTCACGCTTCCCTTTTTGCAACGAGTCGATCGCGACGCGCGATTCTTCTCTTCGTGATTTAAAAATTTCGGCTGCCGTTGTACGTACCAGGTGACGGGACGATACCGTTAATTCTAAACCGATAAACAAAGACGTCTTTTCGAGAAATCGGAACGCGACCCGCAAGTATCCCTACGGTTAATCGACTACGATGAAGGAGGAAGTCTGACGTTGCAAACACAAAAGTGAACACATTAGAGGTAAATTGAAAACGAAAAAAAAAAAATTATATATATATATATATAATATATATCGTAACGCCCGAACTAG